CAAGCGCGGCAGGAGTTTGTCGAGCAAGACCATCTTCCCCGAGCACGATACCAGCTGGTGATGGAGGTTCTCGGGAGTCCGTTGCGGAAGTGGAATCTCCGATAAAATGCGTTCCTCGACCCCGCGATTCAAATAGGCGTGGTTGCAGCATTTTCGCAGCTCCATCATGACATTCATCAGGGAGGGGGCCATCGACGCCTTGCTCTCCTTGAACAAAAATGCAGTGTTTCGGTCGTAGATTGCCATGTAAAATTTTCTCTGCAAAGGGGTCAAAGAAACTTCGACGATTGTTTCCTCCTTGGGCGGCAAAGATTTCTCCACATCCTCTTTAATTCGCCGTAACAGGAAGGGCTTCAGCATGTTGTGCAGATTCTCCACCTGAGAGGCATCCTTCAAATCACCATATTCCCTAGAAAACCCCGCTTGGTCTCCAAAGTGCACAGGATCTGCGAAATTCAGCAAAGCCCACAATTCTTCCGTCTTATTCTGCAGCGGCGTCCCTGTCAGGAGCACACAATGATCCCGGGGCAACGTACGCAGTTCCACAAAGAGGCGCGAGGTCGGATTTTTCAGGCGGTGCGCTTCGTCGACCACCAAGACTTTCCACATAATCCGTGACAGGATCTTGATGTCTTTGATCACCGTCTCGTACGTGGTGAGCAAAATGTCGAATTTGAGAATGTTTCGTTGCTTCAGATAATGCGCTTCCTCCGCTCGGATGTAAGGCTCGTCAAAGTGAAATTCATAGTCCCGCAGGACCTGTCTGGAATCCGTGTTGCCGTGATATACTAGCACATTAAGATCAGGAGCCCAGGTCCCGGCTTCCCCCTGCCATTGATTGATAAGGGACAGGGGCGCGACAATAATGAAGGGTCCACGGTTTTTCCCTTCTTGCGTGCGGTACAGCTGAGTGAGGAACGCCATGGTTTGAATGGTCTTGCCAAGGCCCTGACATAAGGATAAGGGAATACGGTGCCAAAAAACAGGTCAAAAGCATAAACAATATGAACTCAAACTTTTGAAAAACGCCGTAAGCCTGCAAGTGGGCCAAGGCCTGAAGAAATATGTTTACCCTCCCGATATGTTTCCACACTGGAACGAGCCTGTAACGAACGGGAGAAGTAACACCATCCCTTGTACGGCACACGCCTACGCCCAATCACTTACCATCTCGTCCGCTAGAATCGAGGGCCGGCGTTGGTAGTAATTGAAGATGAGCCACTTGAGACCCGTAAGCTGATAGTCTCGAAGTTGCAACACAGACAGGGAAGACGCCGCATGCGCCGCGGCTTGCGCTTGCATTTCTTGTTGATACTGTCGGTGTTGCTCCTCCGTCCCACCCTCCGCCAAGGAGGGTGGGGGAGCAATGGTTGGAGGAGGGGCCAGCGGCGCGGAAGGCAATTCAATGTCCGTGGGCCCGTCCGGGTCGTAAATGGAGAGGAACGTGTAACTCCGATGGCCGAAAGTAGGGTTCTCCACGTCGTGTAAGGCACGCATGGACATGGCCAAGGCCGGATTCAGCTTCAAGTCCGGGCGCTGCTGGACCCAGAAGAGACCGACCTCCTCGTAGGCAAAGTCCTTGATGTCGGCCCATTTTTCCCACGAGGCCTCCGCGTACGGCAGCCCCCGCCATTTCACCAGGTAGCGGACTCGATCGTGCTGATGGTTTTCCATCTCCTCGGCCGGAGTCAGGGGCGGGAGGGGCACGGGGAGGGCCTGGCCCATGGCACCGTCCCTTCCCGCCTCCCCCGCCTGCTCATCCACTAGAAGGGCGTGGCGTTTGCGTCGTACCTGCCGCACCACCACTTGCAAGTTCACGTAGCCAGTCTCGCAGGCGATGACCCGATGTACCTCCGTCACCTCCGGCTCGATCCAGTCGGGGCTTTCCTTGGGGTTTTCTCTCCGATCCTCCAGCAACATCTCCCGCCACGCCGGGCCTCGGAGCTTGACCATTTGCTTCTCGAAACGCTTCAGCTTCTGATCCGCGGACGAATCCTGTCGCAAGAGTCCAGCGCGGGTCTCCCAACTGACGTGCAAGTACGACTTGTCTTTCCACTTCACCAGCCAGTAATCCTCCTTTCCATTCGGTTGGCTCTTCTCTTCCCCGTGCTCCTCTACTAGTGGCTCTCCTCCTCTCCCGTCCCCAGTTCCGCGGGGCGTGTACATTCGCCACGCCAAAATCTTCTCCACTGCCGACGTCGACGCCATTCCATGCGACAGTGGCGGGCCAATCACGGCTCCCGCGTACCCTCCCCCACCCTTCCGGGGGCCTTCGTCGCTGTAATCGTCTTCCTCGTCCTCAAAGATGGAATCATCGTCCGCGTCCAGATTCTTCACTTTTTTCACGACCCGGCCACGGGAAGTCACACGCACGGCCTTCTCGTCCTCGCCCTCTTCCCCTCCAAACCCATCACGTCCCTGCGATCCTCCCCCCTTCCCTTTCCGTCTGCCCGCTGTCGTGGCCTTGGACCGGCCACGACCAGGGGCTCCACCGTATTGACCAGCATTTCCCCCCCGTGCCGAACTGCACAGGCTGCACAAGAACGACCCAGAGGCGACGTCTTCTTCCGTCAAGGAAAGCCCTTCGCACTCAGGATGGAACCAACCATTACACCCTCCTTTCCCGTGGGCGCATTCAATCATCATTCCCCCGTCGCATTCGTCCTCTGTGCGCTGGCAGGAACAGTAGCGTACGTTCTCCCCGGCCACCCCCGAGATGGAATCCACGCCGGCGTCGTCGCCCACAGTAGGCAAGTTTGACGCATAATTGCCGCCTCTCCCCATACCCCCATCGCCAAGTCGAATCCCAATCTGTCCCCCCCCCTGGTCCGCCATCAAAAAGCTGCTTACGTCCTGCCGCGGGGGCGGGGCGGCACCGCCGGCCAAAAAGGCACCGACGTCGGTCATGCCTCCCAGGGATGACAAGTGCATGCTCTCGCCGCCCAGACCGGAATGAGAATCCTGCACTTGTTGGAATTGCTGCAAATGGTGGGCCGCCTGCTGCTGTCGCCGCTGTTGTTGCTGATGCTGCTGTTCGTACGCCATGTAGGCCGAGGCCGAAGCCATGTTGCTTCCGTCCGCTCCAGCGTTACCGTAAGATGCATTTCGTGTTGCTGCATAGGGGTCAAGGTGCTTCTGAGAACCGAAATTTTGTTGATGGTGCAAGAACGAGTCGAGTTGCCCCGCATGAAGCTCCTGCTGCTGCCGTTGATAATGAAGCTCCTGTGAATGATGTTGATGTGGCTGCTCTTGCTGCTGGGGTGGCTCTCGGTGGTGACGATGGTGTTGCGCCTGTTGATATTGCTCTTGAAGCTGTTGCTGCTGCCTAAGGAGAAGTTGCTCCTGCAGCAACTGCTGCTGTTGTTGTCGATAGTCATGTGGCAAAAAATCTTGCGCTTCCTGCCCGTACATTTGTTGTTGCTGTTGGTAAGTCGATTGGTAAGGAGTCCCACTACTTGCCAGCATCTGCTCCAACATGGCAGGGTCGATCGATTGCTGAATAGGTTGCTGCTGCTGCTGCTGCTGCTGCTGCTGCTGCTGCTGCTGCTGCCGCTGCTGTTGTGCAATGTAGTTGTAGCGACTGTAATCAGCCGTCTGTGCTTGCGGTCCTGGGTTTCCATATCCAAGCTGCTGCTGTTGCTGTTGGTACCCGTACAGGTTCGATTGATTGTAAGGGTCATGCTGATACTGCCGCTGCGGCTGCAGCTGCTGCCGACTTCCATCTCCGTGCATCTCTTGCATCAGTTGTCTGTACACGTCAGTGTCCAGACCGCCGGGTCCCCCAGCCCCAATAAAGTCCCCAACACCACCTGGCCCGCCGCCCGAGGGATGACCCCGCTGCATCGTTCCCACACAGGTCTTCAGGTAAGCAGTGGGTAAATTAGCCCGTGGTGACTGCCGGGTCGGAGGCCTTGATCATGCCCTGTTTGTTAAAAACGATGCGTTGTTGAGACCTGCTGGTCGTTTTGAGGGGTCTCAAATTAGCATATTTTATTGCAAATGATCTTGGCAATATAAGCTAGTTGGGCCTGGTCTGATTTGGCTCGCGTCGCGCCGAATACTTTGACCAAGGAAAACAAGAGCGCCATAGCAGCCATCATAAGTCCCCATGCACTCCTTTGCTTATGGTAGAAACGTGCGAATTTCCTCCGAGAAGATTGTAGGGCATCTCACGCGTTCACAAGCAGCAGATCTCTGTGCATATGGACAAGGCACGGGGTGCGTGCAAGCATTCCGACGGTCCAGTCCCGTGGTATTTTCTCCCATTCCTCACCCCATGCAGGTCTGGCCGTGTGGCAGCTCGAACGCTTGGAAACGCCGGACACAAACACCCGCCCTGCGGCCGACGACCGGAACCTCAGAGGTCACGAAGGACGCAAATGTTCCATGCAAACCATGAAAAACATGCACACACCTTGACGTCAGGGTGTATGGGAGAAAGACTGGGACAGGGCGCAAGTGTGCACACGATCAATGGTGAGGCCTAGCAGCCATCCACGTGCAAGAACAGAGGCTTAGGGGAGGCAAAGAAGCCTCCCTGGCCCCCAACATTCACTTCAAAAACTACCAATACGTCTCGATTAATTTTACCCGCCAACTCGAGGTCTTTCACAACAATGGTTCTTTTCACGTAGCGCATGTGGTTGGGTTTTTTGTGGTTTCCTAGACGGTGCTTGTGCAGGCGTGTATTTTCACTCGGGGAGGCCTTTTTCTTCGGTGGCTTGGAGAAGGGTTAGGAAAGCGGGTCCACGCTCAAATTCATGGCTCTTTTTTGAAGGTCCGTGACGGCGCGACGGTGCCAGCTACTTTCCTCCTCCTGATGTGTGTGGAGCGGAGTCAAGGCACATTTTTGGCCCGTTGCGATATGGAACACATTGTATATTGTGTACTGATTTTGTAACCTTGGCTTTCTGGCGCAAGCTCGTCCGCGCATACGCAATAAACTTTGTGTACAGCAATGAAATCGGACGGCTCATATCACTACTGCCCCATTTTTTTTTAACAGACTTGTCGGCACACATATCGAAGATGAGCATCTACGAAGAGGTCGAAATAGAGGACATGGATTTTGAGGAAGAGGAGCAGCACTACACTTATCCTTGCCCGTGTGGTGACAAGTTCGTGATAACTTTGGCAGAGCTCTGGGATGGAGAAGATGTAGCGCCTTGCCCCAGTTGCACGCTTCGCATCCGCGTCGTATACGAAGAGGAGGCCCTTCCCCCTTTAAAAGCCAGCGAGGCAGGGGGCTCAGCGGGAGCCGGCATGGCGGTAGCAGTGCACTAGACGAAGAACAGGGCCGAGAACTTCCCCGCATGCTCACCCCTCAGGGCAATAGATTCCTGACGGAGTTGCTAAGGCCACAGTTGGGCATTATCAGTCGTCATGACTGTCAACCATCCACTTTACCCCATGTGAGGGTGTCCATCCCTCTGCGCGGTGTGCCCGCCCGCGGCGTGGTGACTTGCCTCGGTGAATGGCGCAGACCCCACCAGGACCTGGGTGTCTGTGTCATAACAGGCATGCGGGGCCAGCAGCCGTCTTGTTGCCACGCATTTTCACCCATCAAATATGCTACTACGGCGATGCCGAAGGCCTTATCTATAGAGGCTCTTCGACTGGTCTATAGAGCTTTGTCGGCATGCTGGTGGAACGCACGCTGAGCAGGCTTGAACACAAAATGAGAGCTCCGCCGCAGTGGATGAGGAGCGAAAGGGTAGAGAGTAAGGGGGGGGGGGCGGGGTGATACTCAAATCGCGTCGTTTAGCATGCTGAGGTATCGAGTGCAGGTAACACATGTAGAGGGAATAAAGCCCAAAAAAAAATTCAGAGAGATGTTCAAGCAGCGCCGTTCCCCATGGAGGGCCATTTTTGTCTAGACAGCCATAAAAACTATCCGAGGACATTCATTCTCACCGGCATCTCTGCTTGCTTTCGACTTGGCGTCTGGCCAGGGATATTTTCACTCGTTGTGTCGTTCATGGGGAGCCCCGCGCTTGTGCCTCGGTACGATGTCCCTTAGCGCCTCAGGCCGTGCCTACAGTGAATCACGAGGCCAGCACTACTTTCCATCACGTAACGATCTTCAGTACATTCCTCCCATTCAAGTGTACTTTTTTTCCATAGACTGCACATTTGTCGCCGGCTCTTTGTACAAACATTCTATCATAGCGGATTCTAAGGCCCCCTTTCTGAGCCCTCCCTTCCCTCCCTTTTTCCCCGCATTTCTCTGCTCGTCCGACCTACAATCTTTTTTTTCACTGTGAGCCGGCGGCCCCCTCATCCTCGCTGTCAGACTCACCTTCATAGTCCCTCCAACGAGCCCCTCCTCCCCCCCTTCCCTGTCTCCGTCCTCCAGTTTTACCACCGGCTGCATTTCCCATACTATTCCCACGTCTGCCCCCTCCTCGTGCCCCTCTTCGCCCTCCTCCTTCCCCCCCCCTCCCTCCCCTTCCTCCTCCGCCTCGAGGCGGCGCCTGCGTCAAGACAAAGTCGCTCGGGTCTTGCCTCACCAGAAGCGCAAACTCCCGATACTGCCCTTCCAGCACCGCCAGCACCTCCTCCTCTTCCTCTTTCTCTCCCTCCCTTCCATGCGCAACAGACGTCGGATACGAAGCCAACAAGTGCGCCGGCAAAGGCAGATCCGGCAATCCCTCCGGTTTAGACAACGGGCGCTCCGTCTTTGCGTTTCCTCCCGCCATGCCCCCCCCCTGTCCTCCCAGAGAACGTACTTCTTGACAGCGCTCGTCGCTCAGGACGTAGACATTCTTGAGCCAGTGCTTCAGGTGGAGGAGGAGGCAGAGGGACATGGCCGTGCCTGCTTTGTCTTTTAACTGGGCGAGCATGATCGCGCGGGACGGAGAGCCCGTGGGCACAGATACGCCAAGGTATCCGCTCGTGCCTCTTGCCCCCTCCCCATTTTTGACCTCATCCATCCCACCATAGTCATCGTCCTCGTCCTCATCACAGCATCCCAGGGTCGTTGCCCCTTTCCAAGCTGTATTGCCCACAGCCTTCCCTTTCCTGTCTTTACCTAACGCCGTCAACAACGCCTTCATTTCACCCAACAGGGTGAGGCCCTGTAAAGAAACCGTCCGGCTGATCGAGTGAACGAGGAAAAGCGGCTCTTCCTGAACATCGAAGGGCAAATAAGCAAGGAGTTGAGCCACGTAGGCTAGGAAATGAGGATCCAGCGAACCCTTCTGGCCCTTCGGGTCTGCAGCAGCTGTAGGAACGCCTATCGAGGTGCGCCGGGCAGTGTTACCATAACGATGAGGATGCGGCTCCTGTTGTTGGCTCTCCTGTTGTTTTTGCAGCATTTGGCGGATTGCTTTCGCATGGACGTCCCGCGCAGTTTTTTCCTCGAAGAGAGCCAAAAGGTTCCGTAGGAAAGAATACCGATGCTTCCGGTTCTGCCGCAAGCACGTCGAATAGACCGGACCCAAGAAAGATTGCCGCCCTTCCCAGCCTCCTTCCCCTCCCCCCGACGATACGACAGCCGAGATCAATTCCCCGGTCCCCCCTCTCGCTCTCCCGCTCAGGATCCGTCTCTGAAAAGTGTACGAGAGGCTCACTCCCTCCAGGATCCGCGCGGGAAGGAATTCAGGGTGTTTCTCGTGCTCGATCAAAAGCTGTCGATAGGCGTGCGCGCGGATGGCGGAGAAGGGGTCGGCCTGTAAGGCAACCAGCGCGGGTAGGGTTTGTAAGGGGTTGACCAAGCCTTGACGGTGGAGAACGGAAAGGATGCCAAGCGCCGCAGTGCGAAGCTGATCGTCGCGGTCAAAAAGGAGGTGCTTGATTGAGTCCAGGTGCTCCTGAATGACCCCTCCCACGATGCTTGCCTCGGCGTCCTGGTCTCCTTTCACCCGCTGTCTGACGCTCACGCCCGCTTGCACCATCCGGGCACGGGCGGCTCCACTTTCCACCCGGGTTTCTTCGGCAAGCAATACCTCTCGCAGGGATTTCAAGGCCTGCAGACGCACTGGTGCTCGCGCCACTCCCCCCCGTGGGGTCAACATTCGACCTACCACATGATCGCGCTGAGCTGTCAGCATGAGGGGCATGCAGCCCGTGAAAAGTAAACACAAGGCCTGCACGGCCTTCGTCTCTGTGCTTAAGTCTTTGGTCAAATAGAGGGAGAGCAGACGGTAGCTCATCACAAATGCGTTCTCACAGGTCAGCTCCTCCGCCAAGGGTTCGTCGAGCATGGCCAAAGGCAAGGCTCCCTCAGCGGCTCCGGAAGGGGGGGGAAAATCCAGGGTAGTACCGGCACACGCATCCAAGCACAACCAATGCGCGATGGGTGGAGGAACGGGTCGTATAGTCCGCTTCCTGGGGAGCGAAGCTAGGCTTTTCCCGAAACTTGAGCAAGACGCGGTAGAAGGTATTGGCCAGGCCCAGGATCAGACCGGGGTCACCGCCTTGGACGCAGATGCAGAGGTTTGCAAGGCACTGCACTGCGGCGTGTATGGTCGGCGCCCCGAATTGGTAGGTGATGAGGACAAGATCTCGACCGACTTGGGCGTACACGGCCCGGTCTGGGTGGCTCAGGTGGGGGAGGACCAGGCCAACCATCTGAGCGACTTTGCAACAGAGGGCCGCTTCCTCCGCTGCCTCCAAGTGGTTCTCACCCTTCAGGTAAGGAAGGAGAGTATCGACGTGGGGGAGGAGGAAGCGAGGGTCGGCCCGGCTGAAGACGTGCAAGGTGGCGATCACTGCCAGGAGTTGTTTGGCCGGCGTGGCGAGTTCTGGGAGTTTGCTGCCAAGGGGGGGCTGGTTCCCCTCGTCTAGTTCCAAGAGCAGATTCACCAGGACCTCAACCACACGGCCGCATTGCTGGGCTACCACCTTCCGCTGCCTTCCCCGCTCCTTTTTCCCTTGGCCCCCCTCGTTTGGTCCGAAAAGCAAGCCGGTCAACAGCGCCACGAGCCAGTCCGTGTTGGCCACACCAGCAATCACCTCCACCATTTGCAGACCCACCGCCGTCAACCGCTCCTCCTCGGAGAGTTTTTTCAGCTTCCAACCTGTTTCCTCGTCCGCGACATGCCCATCGCTTCCATCCCCTTCTACCTCGTCCTCCTTCCCTCCCTCCCCGGCAGATGCTTCCGAAGAAACCCCCACCGAGAACCACATGGCTTGGAAGGAGTCTTGGACCAGGTCCTTCACCGTGTCCTCTTCCTTCACCATGCTCGCCCTCCCCACCAGACGCCTGCAGATCTCTGTCCGCAACGGGTGCGTCGGGCACCGCTGGAGGAACTCTCCCAAGAGCTTTACAGCGGTTTTGCGCACAGACACGCCCTTGTCCACGATGCGTTCGAGGAGGGGTTGGTAGTAGCTGTCAAAGAGGGAAGGTTGTTGCAGGACGTACTTTCCCACCAGCTCGACCGTGGCTTGGCGCACGGAGGTTGCTTCGTCCTTCCAGAGGGAGAGATTGGAGGAGAAACACAGTCAAGAAAGGGGTCGAGAGAGCGCGGTCAGATGGAGTGCGTGTGTGTTGACTTGGGGGGACGAGAGAAAGAAGTAGTGAAGGGGCATGCAAGGAGAAACGTCGACCGATTGGTGAATATTTAAAGGAATAAACGCGATGACTCTACCTGAAATCGATCGACGACTGCCTGCTTGACTTGCGCATCCAGCATCAGCAACGGGTCGCTCTCTAGAATGTTCCCAAAGGCCTTCATGACCCGCGCCCGCCACGCCGCCTGCCCCTGGCCGAGCAAGGCAAGAAGGCGGAAGAGAAGGAGGCCCAGGGATTGAAGGAGAGGCCGGGACACAGCAAGAGCATGATTCAGGTGGACGACGGCCTCGGTGGGCAAGACATGGTAAAGGTCGGCCTCCCCATGCACGACGGCGGCGGGGGGCATCTCCCACTGCGAGGCAAGGAAGCACCAGTAAGAGGGATGTCGTCGCTCTTCCCCTGCTGGCATCCGCGCATGCCCGCTGACTAAGTCATTCTGCCCATCCTCTTCTCCTTCCAACGTGAGCGCGGAGGGGGAAGCGTCGGCGCTCTCGGCCACCCAACGGGAGAGAAAGCAGTGACGGGAAAATTTCAACCAAGACTCCCCTCGACGGGCCTTGTGAGTCAAATAGTTCAAGATGAGCTGTCGGGTCACGTCCAAGTCGGTCAAGGTTGACGACGAGAGCGCTCCCTCCTCCGCGAGCTCCTCCTCGGCGTCCTCCTCCATCTCCACCTCCACCCTCGTCCCCTCCGCCTCAACGCCCTCCTCTATTCCATCCCCTTGGGCCTGCGTAGCCTTGCTCTCCTGCTGACTAGGTCGACCGCATTTTCCACCCTCTTTCCCAGAGACAGCCTCGGTCTTCGATCCCGTTACACCCGGACTCCCTCCGCGCTTCCTTTTTCGCCCCTTTTCCCCCGCTACCCTTCCCTTCATCCCATCCGCCCTAGTATCCGCCTCCAGGCTTTGCTTTTCATCCCTTTCTTGGCCGTTCTGGCCCCTCCCTTCCTTCCCTTCCTCTTCGAGCTTTTCGCTTCTTTCATGCTCGAGTTCCAAGGACAGTCCTAACCCTCTTCCTAGCGTATTCCTTGCCCCCGCCTTATCCATCTTATCTTGCATGACGCGCCTGAACCACTCGGTCACTCGCACCCCTTCCTCCCTACTTGTCTCCTCCTCTATCACGGCTTTGCTCAATTCCTTCTCCACGGCCTCCGAGACAACTCGCCCCGCGTCTTCCCCCCCTCCAGCCACGCCGTCGTCCTTCCCCACCCCC